TCCCTAGTTTTTATATGTTAATAAAAGCCTAAATGTAATCTGTTCATCATATAAAGTTATTGTCTCTCTACACAAGACATCATATGATTCATTGTTTTACAACGCCTTTATGACCCTTTTGGATCTTCTAAGTTTTGGTTACCTGGAATTCAAACCACAAATTAAGATATTTTTAAAGAAACCTAAGTCTTATGGCTTTGGACCAACATGAGGGTGAATAAATTATTTTAGCATTTTCATTTTTGGGTGGACTATTCCTTTAATGCTAAAGCTTACAGACATATTTGTTTGATCAAGATGTGAACTTAAAGAGATAGTTCACTCAAAAATGAACATTCTGTAATTTACTCACCTCTCATGTTGTTCCAAACCTGTATGACCTTTCTTCAGGAGAACACAAATTAAAGTATATTTCTAATTCTGTCAAATGTTTTTGACTACACAATGAAAATCAAAGGAGCTCAATTTAACATTGGACCCCGCTGTCTTTCATTGTATGGACCAAAAAACTAAACAAAACAAAAAAACACTGCTTTCTCAAAATATCTTTTTTTTGCGCTCCACAGAAGAAAACATCTTATAGGTTTGGAATAACTTGAGGGTGAGTAAATAATGACAGAATTTTCATTTTTGGGTGACCCATCCCTTTAAGAACATAAACATACAGTATGCAGATACATACATAACATGCATTATTACCTTGCTGTTGCCCATAAACTGAATACTAACAACTGTTAGCTCTGTCATATCAGAAGCTGACCTGAAAGAGTCAACTAACCATAGAAGAACACAGGTTAAGGTTATGCCTATAGCACCCCTTGTGGCAATGATGACAATGTAACACTCACTTGCGGCTCATTTCAGAATGCAACAGTGCATGAAATTGGGCTTACATAGCAGACACTGTTTGCAAGAATTTGGGCCTAAACATAACTCTGACTAAAACTGACTTATCATGAAGGATTTTGATCTAGGAATATGTCCTACTAGGATAAATAACATTAAGGATCATGAATAGAAATGTGTTTAATATGCTAAGTGTGTGAGAAAGGCTACACAATACACATACATTGTGTGTAAGAGGGGTGTCTGTGTGAGTTGGAGAGTGTGTAAGAGAGGCTGTAGGCCGAGATGGATGGAGATGAGAGCGCGGGCTACTGGGACAGCTGACGTACAATGACGGGAAATTGGACCGCTGCTATGATGAAGAGCAGGTGGAGACAGGTGGGGGAGAGGGAGATGCTGATGTTTACGAATGAGGGGATCGTTATAGAGGAGGTCTCATGTGCTCTACTCTGATGTGGCCTTATGTAGCACTGACACAGCATCTATCTATCTATCTATCTATCTATCTATCGAACAAAACATAAAAGTATCGTCAAGTTATGTTTACCACAGGCTTTATTTTACTCATAAATTGAAAAACCCCATTATAAAATCCCATAGGAAAATCTCGAAGGAACCCACAGCGAATTACACTTCTGGGTTCTGACTTCATAGTTCCCCCACTCTATAACCAGAATAGTTTAACAGTTTACATTTAATAGCTTTAAGAAGTTGACTTTCAGCTGGCTGAAGGAACGCATACAATATTTGTTATTTTGTATAGGGCTTCTGCAGCATGCATGACCTGAATCAGTGCAGAAGCTCGATGAGTCAAGAGGGCATGTGAATGAACAGTGTCTGAATATTAATGCACAGTCCTGAACTGAGATCCATGTGTACGTTTGCGTTTTAAAGCAAGACATACTGTACTCTTCATACTGTCCTTCACACTTTATCACCGCAGTTTGTAAATACTACAACAGAGAAGAACATAGAAGAAAACACACCCCTCAGCTTTTATAAAGCTAATAACCAGCATCCAAATATTCCTATACTGTATAAATCACACATCCAGGGCCAGTGACCAGACATAAAGAGTCAAACTCCAATACACCTGTTCTCTTACAGTAGCCATAAGCCTCGAGTTCTAAGACTTCTCAATCAATACTCAGCCGCTGATCCATGCGACAGCATAAACTTTCAACTTACCACATCGACACCTCATAACAGACATTAATCCCATAGCCCTGAAATCAATACGCCATCATTTCTCTTTTGTGTGTTCAGCACCCTAAACAATCTGGCAATAACAAACACAAGCAAACACAGGCTGTATTAATGTCCCCATCCGTTAAAACAGTCCAATGGAGCTTCGTCTCATAAATGACTCTGTCTGGGAGCGTAAGCAACGTTAAATATACATTACTCTAAGCCCGGAAAGTGTGCGGTCCCACATTTGGTGTGGCTACACAAACAACCGGCTATGAATAAATAAATGCAGAGCAGTGCCTGTCCAGACAAAAAGGAAAAGTCTGCCTCACGCCTCAGGCTAATTTACACCAGCCTAGCGGCCACAAACAAATAAAAAGAAGATGACGAGGTGAGGGGGTTCAACTCATCAGATGGGTCAGAAAATGGAAATGTAATATTGATCTTTAAAGCACGATGCATGCATGCCAAGGTCGACATTTAGGTAACAGTGAGATTTCAAAGCACATCATGAAGCTTTAAAATGAAAGCAAGTCTGTAAAGTGCACTTCTTTTGGAGCACCTGAATAACTGAATAACACAGTTTAACAAGTTTTCAGCATCATGGACACGCTGGCGCTCTATACCAAATTTAGTGGGTCTGACAGGCAGTGTGTGTAAGACAGATCGTGAAGAGAAAAAGAGAGCATCCATCTCTCCTTCTATATGAGCATGCTCGTTTATTTTAATGAGCATGTATGTGAAGTGGGACAGGGAGATGAATACTGGAATACATGGTCCAACTCATCCGGATCCTCAACGGAGAAGCCATACCTTGCAATCAATCATGGGGAGAAGGCTCGGGTGGGAAGGAGGAAGACAGAAACAGGGAGAGAGATAAACAGAGAGAGAGACATGGGGGTGGAGGCGGTCGCAGGTTTGCTGCCAGTTTCTTGATTAATCTGGACAATATTCTGTTTTATGCGTCATTTCATTCCCCAACATAGCACAGCTCTCCTTTTGCACAATAAAGAGGTCTCAGCAAAGCCTCTTGACCACTTTCTAAAGATCTGCCAGCCTGGAAGACAAATGAAGTGTGGCCTCACATTCAGCCATATTAATATAATAATGATATCCGGGTTTGTGTCACCGGCTGCCACACCTCAGCCCTGTAATGTAGGATTAGATGAAGAAGGAGAGCTGAGGAATTACATTCGATTAGCACTAAACAAGAGAATGAGACGTGGAACGATTAAATCAATCAAGTGCGGGACCGGAACAGTCACAGAGGGAGTGTGTGTATGTGCTGTGTGTGTAAAAGATAATATGCCCTTAACACCTTAAATCTCTAAACAGTCATTCCCTCTCCCAGACAGTCTATTCTGCGTGAGTGAAAACTTTTCAGAACGGCCAACGAGGTGCAAAGCATTCTGAGTAAGTGGCGATAATAAGTCCCCTCAGCAAGTCTCTGCCGTTATGCAGAGCGAGAAGAGCAGAGCTGCGCAATGCCACAGAGACATGCCTGGAAGAATGAGGAACTATCTGAGGGAAAAGCGTTTTAGAGGGAACGAGTGCCAAGATTCCTCATAGGCTTCTTTTCTCATTACCTCCTCTCCTCCCCTGTCTTATTACTGAGACTCAATAAAGAAGATCTGGACTGGATAAAAAGACAGCCACACTTGCCATCTCTGCTCTCTGTACGTTTCCCCCTTCCTTCACTCTCTGTGATCACATTTCCTGAAAATGTAGTCTTGTGTCATCGTTTGAGGCTTGACTGTGCTTGGATTGGGTTATGTGCGTTCTTAGCGGCCATGTAACCTTTATGAATCTGCACTCTGGGGCAAAAGTGTTGCATAAACAGAATTCTGACAAAACCACAAAAAGTCTGGTCCACATTAGCATCTTAGTTTGGCTTAGGTGACAGAATAGATACCCGCTCACATGGAAAATGATCACCATGAGTTTGTTTCATATTTACACTTATACTTTATGCTCAAAAGATCAAAACTGATGAGATTTTTATGCAATATGTATCAGACAGTCATTGAATGGACACTGGGCGGTCCATCTGAAGCTGAGACTACTGGGACACAGTGAGGGTGCCACCAGGCCCCAGAAACTGATACCATATGTATAAGACAAAGTCATGCTGGAACATCCTGGACACAGAAATTGAGCACCTGAAGCAGCAGTGAAGTAGAACATGAGTCAGCTCAACATGGGACAGACTGAGAATAATATTTCTGTGGAGATGGAAATGTTGCTTTACAAGCTTTCACTTTCCTCTTTTCAAAGCCTGTAGCAAGTAAGACGCTGCTGAATCACTAATGTTCTTCCAATTAAGAGCACTTTGTATCACAGTGAACCCTAGAAAATAAAGTGTTTTTAACATTAATTAGTGACTGCTAAGTCAAGCCTTACTATTGCTATTGTTCATGTTTAGGGTTTGAGATTTACACAAACACCTGTTAAACGTCAGCTAGTGATTTGACCCATATTGTTTGTGCTTATGTTATTTTTTTAATTAAAAATGTGATACTAATTCAGATTGTTGAATCAAATTGCTTTCTGATCAGTGTGAAATGCTTTTAGATTGAAAAAAGTCATGCAATTATTGTGTTTCATAATTGATGGTTGCTGTCACTTCTGAGTCCATCCCTAAGTATATGTCCTAGAAGCACGAATATCTATTGTCTGTGCTCTTTTAAAGGCTTCATCTGCATGCATTTCCTCCCTGGACCTCTGCCTGTGATGGGCTGTAGTTTCGAGGTTAGCTTTGATCAGTCGGTGAGCTCAGGCTCCAGCGGGCTGAGGGGTTATGTTTAATCTCCCTGCCTGTCTCCATTACAGCTGAATTACACTTGAAGGTGTGCTTCACAGCTCCAAACAAAAAGGGGAAAAAGAGGGGCAAAAAATACGATGGCTTCAGAAAAATAACAATAGCTAACTGAGTTCCCAACAGGTGTTCAAGTCTCTGGCAGTCTTACCTGTAAAAGCCAGTAGCACCTGCGGTGGAAGGTGGGAATGATGGAGGAGTGGACATAACAGCCGTACAGACACTAGGGAAAGAAACACACACAAATGCATGGTTAGTAGAGAACACAATGGCTAAGTCTGAAAAACAAGGTTATGGTAGGGGTTGTAAGGGTCCATCTCTCTGTCAGTGTTAGACTTGAATAGAACATGACTTACTTTAACAGACATTTCAACAGATCTACTCTAAATGCAACAACAACAGCAAATTAATTTATAATTTATACAAACATAAAAAAATACAGAAATGAACAGCAACATTGCTGGCATTAGTGACCCGTACAGGTTGAGGAGTGACACTTGCCTATGTGGCCAGGGAACGGCCAGGACACTCAGAGGTCTGCCAGGGCTGGAATGAGTCATGTGATTTTGAGAAGACATCTGTGATGCTGTGCTGCTGGGTGCCGGCTTTCTACCCAAACATATTGTTTGCAAGCTCTCAAGCCAAAGAGCTTGGCTCTTTCTGGAATAAATCAAATATCCAACACACACACACACACACACACACACATACACACACATGCACACGCACACACATATATACTTGCATGGATGTATGCACACGTGTACACACATGCCTGCAGACACACACACACACACACACACACACACACACACACACAATGCACTATGAAATAATGGATTTTTTTGAAGTTCTAAGGGAGGTTAAGGTCACCGTTATAGTGCAATGACAAGCTAATATGGAATATGATTAGGAATGTGTTCATTGTTGGCTGTGCGAGACTAAACCAAAGGTAAAATTACAAAGTGTGCAAATGAAAACTACTGTATAGTTCAATTCAAGGTACAGGTAACTCTTCTACAGCACTCTTCACAATATCGTTTCAAAAGAGCTCTACGAGCTCTACATAAGATCAGAGCCTTGACAATTCCTAACATAGTATAGATGAGAGGACGATCAAACCTTGAGAGAAAACAAATCTCTGCAGCAGAAACTCACTCTCCCATGGTCAGCAAGATTGTTTCTACATAGTATAACTGTTTTTGATTAAGCTTAAAGAACAGTTATGTAGCATATAGTATATATACTCAAGGTTTTAACATCAATATACTACATTCTATGGGTCCATACTGACCAATAATATGGATGTCTATTACCCAGTGTATACTGTTCACAGTGTGCAAAATTTCTATATGCACAAAATCCCTGGATGACCTACGACATTTACCAAAAGGTGCAGTATACACAGAGCATACTGCACAGAACAGTGTATCCCAAAAAGCAAAGCTTCCAATTAACCTTCCATGTCTTGTTGTGTGATGAATGAACTACAAACAGGTTAATATCAGCCACAATTTTTAAATCTTTTTAATGACTTATCATTTGATCAGATTGTGAAGAGTTAAGATACATTACCGTTCAAAAGTTTGGGGTCAGGAAGATTATGATCAGGACAACTGTTTTCAAAACTGATAATAATAAGAAATGTTTCTTGAGCAGCAAATCAGCATATTAGAATGATTTTTGAAGGATCGTGTGACACTGATGTCTGGAGTAATGGCTGCTGAAAATTCAGCTTTGCCATCACAGGAATAAATTACATTTTAAAATATATCATAATACACAACAGTTATTTGTGTTTAGTTAAATTGTACTAATATTTCACAATATTCCTGCTTTTATTGTATTTTTTAATTAAATAAATCATCATGAGAGACTTCTTTTAAAAACATTAAAACTTCTTACCGACTCCAAACTTTTGAATGGTAGTGTGAATAGTGCATATATTTCAAATAGTGCATATAGTCAATAGTGCATATTTCAAATGCTAACATTTTTATTTTTGTGATGATAACAGTAAATTACTGAATTAAACATTCAATGTAGAAATCATGTACTGTAGCAGGTCCAAATACATTATTTACAGTGCACTCCATAGGATTAATTTAGTAGTAAGCAGCAGCATAAAACAAACAAGTGTGTGTGTCTTTGTGCTAACACAGATTCCCTGGCCGTGTCAATGCACTCAGACACTCATGAGCAAACAAACACTATAGCCAGCAGAGCATTGAGGTCCAGAGTCTCTCACAGGTTCCATCTTATTCCTCTGCTAATCCGAGAGGGGCAGACAGACAGAGGAGATCTCTGTAAAGCTTTCTACCAGGGGCGGTTTCTCCGATTAGGCAAGGGAAGCAGTGCCTCTTCATTTCAAAAGTCCATCAAACACCACTGCTTTTCTACACAGGGCTTCCATCCAGCTCCAAACGTACGAGAACACATTTGTCCATCTCCATCTGACAGATAATGTCTGTATGTGGATGTCTGCTATATTTACCAGGCTGAGTGCTATGAGCATCTGTTCCACAGTATTGACAGGTGTGTGCGGTTCCTTACTGTTCATCCCACTGTGCGGACTGGAGAGTGAATAAATTAGCCCCAGGCAGCTTCTGTTTACTTAGTTTAAGAAATACACAAAGTGTTCAGCAGGCATAAACAAGACACCTGGGCCATGTCAGACTGTAGCACCTGTCAGAGCTGATACGAGAATCAATGTAAACCGTCCATCGGCTACACACATGCTGTTTGCACACTGTCAGAGCTTACACACATACACAACAATATAGCTTTGTTACAAAATCTAGTGAGTTGCCTGTTGCCTACATAGGCAGCTGCTTTCAGTGACAGTGAACTTCAAATGTGAATGATTTGAAGTGATTTAGAGTGGCAGCAACATTTTGTGCCATGCAAAACAGGAAGGCTCGACTGAGTCGACTCTTGAATTGAAAGTTTTTTTTCGCAGTTTTTTTGTTTTTTTTACTCTTCTTCCCACTCAAATTACTCTTCTTCCCACTGAGTGGACTGGAAAGTAACTAAATTAGCCCCAGGCAGCCTTTGTTTATTGGTCTTCTGTCATTAGGTTACTGAACAGAGCATATATGCAAACGATAAAATATGTTCACACACAAACTAACCAGGAACAGGTAGGCTGACCATTTTGCGTCCTCCCAAAACATTTAATATAATACACACAACAAAAAAACCTATAACGCAGACTAGCTTATCAGTAATTCAGGACAAATATCATTCAGCTCTTTGCTGATTCTCTCTCAAGGCTGCGTGGCAATGTGACAAACTGACAATGATAGAAGCCATTATTTGCTGTCTGTGGGCTGTGACAAATGACAGCACATCAAATGGCAAGCAATTAAGGCATAATTATGTTCCCACAATCACGCAGGACTTCTCTCCATTTCTCAATCTGATTTACTCATCATTTGAAGCAACAGCAAGACTACAAATTACAAACTGTTCTCAATGCACATCTAAAACAGACCATAGATGAGATTTTGTTATGAAATGGGCCATTTGGGATAAAAAATAGACTATATCAAGTAGTCTAAAAATTTTAAAGTTGGTTGCTTAATTGAGTGATTATCTCCATGTAGTGGTATTGCAAAACCAACAGTTATTTTTATTTTTTTTAATTAAAAATGCTCAAGCAACCTTCACTGATCACCTGAGATGAATTGACCAGGTCGTAAAATGTGCATAAACACTGTGATCAGAATTTCTCTCTTTCCAAAAGTAAGAAGAACTGATTATTTTGCAAAAATATGCCTCAAACTGAACATTAATGCCACTGACCTTGCAAACTTGGGCCGACCCAGTGATTAACTATTAAACCTCATTCTATCAAACTGGAACCTTAAAATGACAAATTTTCCAAGCAGACTTTAATCTGCTGAGTAAACGCAACCAATCAGATTTTATATGGTGATTTATTTTAATAAGAAGGAGGCGGGAACCGGCGAACATTTAAAGACTTTAATAAAATAAACAAACACAAAATGAAAGAAACACGGACGACTGCCGCACACAAAACACAAAATAAAATCCAGGCCTGGTCCTCTCTCGTCCAACACTGTCGTCACTCCTCCTTTTATCCTTCCGGAGCTCCTCCGTGGGACTCGAGACCGGTGAGTGGCGCAGGTGTCGTGCATTAGCATTTACTCCACCGGCCTCACTCCGTTCCCACGGCTCTTGGCCCCCCCCTCTCGTCACATACCCCCATCGCCCCTCGCAGGACGGGGGGTACCCATGAGACTGCGCTCTACTCCCCCGTCCCCCCTCCGGGGGAGCCGATCACGGCGGCCGCGGCATACCTCGGGGTAAGGACAGACAGACGAGGCGAGAAAAAAGGAGACGGAAGGATGAGGAGAGACAGAGACGAGAGAGGGGAGAGAGGAAAAAAAAATAAAAAATCTTGTTCCGGTTCCCAGACACACTGCCGCTCGGCCCTCCACCAGCTGGGTAAACTCTTCCGCGATGCCAGGCAGCGGCACTGGACAGCCCTCGGTGGACGGCGACGGCTCCTCCGGGTTCAGGCAGCCGGCAGGAGTCCCCCGTTCCCTGCTCCTCCCCAGCCCAGGCGGCCGGCAGCGAGTTCGTCGGCCCCCCCGGCAACTCACTCCAGCCCACCACCTCGAGCCTCCACGCAGGTGTCGTGCATTAGCATTTACTCCCCCGGCCTCGCTCCGTTCCCACGGCTCTTGGCCCCGCCCCTCTCGTCACACTGCCATTTTTGTGTAAGACTAGGTCCATGTACTAGGGGACAGTAATATTCAACAGAGGGGATGAACACTTTGGCCAGATGTAACATGGTCAGACAGTAGAGCTGTGATTAGGACACGCTAATTGTGCAAGTCGTCGTAGCAGGTGTTATGCCGAGCCATCAATCAAGTCAGCCGGGCAGGTATGAAGGCAAGGTGTCCAACCTGCCGAAGATGTGAGACTCTCTCATTAGGCCATAATGATGTGTGAAGACACACTTAATCAGACCATGGCATCTTAAGTATGGTACCAATTTGCTGTTTTATGATGTGACGATGTGAGTGGTCGTGATACTAGATGCCCACAATGAACCTCATCAGGGTAGATGCTGTTTAATGTGATGCAAATGAAAATGAGGCTGTGAGGAACAGACATACAGTCCATTCAATACATTGCACAGTATTCAATAGTGCAATTTAAGCAAGACAATACAGGTGAATGGGGTAAACCTTT